GCGATCTGCGGCGGCAATTCGGCGGGAGGTCCTTCGTTCCGAGCGGGAGTGAGGGACCGTCCGCCGAATTGCCGCCGAATAGTTGGACGTGCCGCCCCTCTCCGGAGTGGCCGCCCCAAGCACCTGCTTGGCAAGCTGGTGCCTGGAGCCGGCCCTGTTTGTATGGATGAAACACATTTTGCTCTGAAGTTTTTGGCCTCTGGAACTAGAGAAGCTGAGTTTCCATAGGGCGTTCTACAGAAAGAACACAAAAGTTGCTGCACTATAAACAATGTAGTTAAAATTCAGAGGGGCACTTTAAAAAGCACATATGGTTTTAGCTGCCTAAGTTTGGGGCTTGAAGGAATGGTTTCTGCAGTTGGAAGTGTTATGAAGTTGTATAGGTGCTGTAGGTAGTTTTGCACTGAGATTAGCTGGGAAAATACACAGCTATCTGGATGTTCTAAATGATTCTTACATAAAAGTTATTTTCTCTCTCTCATCTGTCAGTGGAGTCTTTTGGGCAGACTCTTACGGCTCGTCTACACTAGAAAGTTAGGTCTATCTAGCTACGTCACTCAGGGGTGTGAATTTTTCACACCCATCAGAGATGTAGTTAAGCTGATCTAAGCCACAGTGTTGATACCATTAGGTCGGAAGAATTCTTCTGTTGATTTAGCTACTGCCTCTCAGGGAGGTGGATTTACTACAGTGACAGAAGAGGGTCTACACTATAGCGCTAGAGTGGAACAGTTGCAGCATCTAGTGTAGACATACACAGAGCTGCATCAATTTTTCTTCTGTCCTTTTCCAGAGTCCCTTTGTCATGCTCCAGCAATCTATTGCTAGTGAGGACTGATTGGACTTTCCTAGGTAGAGTTGGGCAGGAAACAATTTTCCCATCCCGCAAGGTTTTTTGACGTTTAAAGATTTTTTTTTCTGTCCCAAAACGGAATGGAAAGTCAAAATCTCAAATTTTTGTGAACCGATAAAAAAAAATTGCATTTGGGTCAGTCAATATGTTTTGTTTTGATTTTGATCATTTAAAAAAATGTTTAACCTTTTTTGTATAAATTAAAATTTCAGAATGAGAAGTCATTTCAAGTAGATACATTGAAACTTTTTTTTAATGCCCAAATGGGATGTTTTGACAGTCTTGAAACTTTCTTCAAATAATGTTCAAACTGGGAGATTTACGTAACCAGCCCTTTCCTGCAAATAGTTTCAATGAATCAACACTTCCCAATGAAAAAAAATGTTGTTGGAAAATTACTCACCATCTCTGATCCTAAGGGCTTGTGAAAGTTGGTCCTCAATCAGCCAGTTAGGGTCACTTTTGAATGACCTGAGACTTACTCTCCTCATGGCTTGAGCCCATGGCTACAGCAATGCTCCCGAGAAATGTTATTTTCTAGAGAATGCCAAACTCGGTTTTTAAATCAGAACTGACGGTCAGGTTCTAAATCGAGGGAAGAAGAACGGTCTTGTGGATTATTATTATTTAACATTTCTATGACACTACATGAAAATTCATGAGTTCTGGGTTCTAATTCCATCTCTGCCACAGACTTCCTGTGTGGCCTTGGGCAAGAATCCCTGTGCCTCAGTTTTCCCATTTGTGAGATGGAGGAAAATAGTATTTCCCTATCTCAAAGGGATGTAGGAAGAATAAATTCATTAACATTTGATGCACTTAGATGCTATGATGAACCTCATAGATAAGTCAACACAAACCATAGAATACAGCAAACAGAGCCCCCAAGATTATATATTTTTCAAGCTAAATATTGCATCCATTTTAACTGACAAGACACTGCAATTAAACTCCCGCGGCCGGCCCGGGCTAGCTGACTCGGCTCGGGCTGTGTGGCTGTAGAATTGCGGTGTAGGTGTTCAGGCGCGGGCTGTAGGGTCCAGGAGCCCGGGCTACAGCCTGAGTGTCTGCACCACAGTTTTACAGCCCCGCAGCCCGAACCCCAGAAGCCTGGATCAGCTGACACAGGCCAGCCCCGGGTGTTTAATTGCAGTGTTGACATACCCTGAATGTCTCTCTGCCCTATTTCCTCATCTGTAAAATGGGGATGATAAAACTTCCTTTCTCCAACCCTCTCTCTGCCGTGTGTGTGTAGACTGTAAACTCAGGGGCAGGCACTGTCCTTTACTCTGTATCTGTACAGCGCCTAGCACGATGGGGCCTGATTTTGGCTGTGGTGTTAGGGGCTGCTGTAATCACACATTTAGTCCACAAATCCATCTGTGTTCACACCAGGCCTGGAGCTGAGCGTCAGTTTGTGTGTGTGTAGTGGAGGATTCACCCCTTTCTAATACTCTGCTGCACACATTCCTATGGAGAACTTTCCCTCACTGCAATGGACCAATCCCATTGCTCAGTGCTTTGGGACTGACACCCTCTTTTTATTTGACCATCTATCTGTTTTTGCCATTATTAATTGCCTGCCTGAGGGAGAGACCTTTCAGGGAGCCTGTTGCTCTTGGCTGCTGCTGCTACTCCAGCAGGGAAAGTCACCTCTCTGCCTTGGAGCAGGAGGGGAAAGGGGCAAGTTTCTTTTCCTCTCTGTTTCTTGCTTTGTTTCTTTCTGAGCCGAATCACTGCAAAGGTAAATGCTATTACAGATTCAGGGGAGACTGTCTGACTCAGGATTGGAAGTGAGATATTACCCAGGAGAGGAAAGCGTGGTCCAGTGCTTATAGCTGCAGACTGGGAGTCACTAGTTCTGCATTAGAGCCACTGACCTTGCACAAGTCATGTAATCTTTCTGTGCCTCAGTTGCCTCATCCACTTCACCCCAGGCAGGGATGGGGAGGGGCCTGTGAGTTAATGGGGAAAGGTGTCTGCCTCCCTGCCCCCTTTTGCCCTGGGTGCACAAATGGCTCTTGTAAGGGGCAGGCTAGTGATGTGAGCGGTACGGGGAAGGTGATAAGGGAGGACAGGGCATGAGAAGGGGCATCAGTAAGGCTGTATGGGAGCAGGGAAAGGGGATCACACTGAGGCTAGAGCTGGGTGGGATATATGTACTTGTGCAGACTGAATGGGAGAAGGCAGAGAGATTATACCTTGGAGAAGTTCCCACCGCTCACGAAAAACAATAAGACCAGAAGGTGACCTCTTCCATTAGCAGCAAGGGCGCTTTCCCATCCTGGGCTGGAAGGTAGTTTGGAGTCTGTCCTGTGCCGACAGAGGATCTTTCTGATAACGTTAGCGCTCTTCTTGGATATTATGAAAGACCTGACAGAAATAGCATCATCTACAGGAGGCGAAGTGGCCCTGTCGATCGGGCACATGTCTCAGTCTCAACCCTACTCTGATGCTTATTTACTGTATGAATTTAGGTAAGTCCCCTGGCCTCTCTTTGCCTCTATTACAACAGTGGTTCTCAACTAGGGGTACACATACTTCTGGGGGGACGTGGAGGTCTTCCAGGGGGTGCACCAACTCATCTAGACATTTTCCTAGTTTTACAACAGGCTCCATAAAAAGCACTAGCGAAGTCAGTACAGACTAAAATTTCATACAGACAATGACTTGTTTATACTGCTGTATGTACTGTACACTGAAATGTAAGTACAATATTTATATTCCAATTGATTTATTTTATAATTATATGGTAAAAATGAGAAAGTGAGCAATTTTTCAGTAATAATGAGCTGTGACACTTCTGTATTTTTATGTCTGGTTTTGTAAGCCAAGTAGTTTTTAAGTGAGGTAAAACTTGGGGGTATGCAAGACTAACCAGATTCCTGAAAGGGGTATAGTAGTCTGGAAAGGTTGAGAGCCACTATAGTACAGTATTAATAAAAGAGGGATAATGAGGCCTCGCCATCTTTGTGAAGTGCTCTGAGATCTGTGGAGGAGATGTGCTAACTGTGGTTAATGATGACGATTGATGTCTGCCTCAGAGGGAGGGTTACGAGATCCTTGAATGGAAAGCGCTCCAAGAGTGCAAAGTAGTAGTGATAATATAACAGCAGTGCTAATTGGCTCTGTAGAACCTTTCGCCTGTAGGCTGCCATTTGTCCAGGATACTAGTAACAACCTCGCTTAGTCACTATCTGATGTCTGCTCAGTGTCTGCAGCAAAATGAGCTTCATGGGCTCAGGCCCCAAGTATCCACATTAAACCCATAGGGCCATCACAACTGGCCCTGCTTGACGGTGTTGTTGACAGCCTCAGCAGAGGCCCGGGACTGAATGGGGGATGTAGACTTAGGTGGTACCTTCCTCTTAGGTTTGATGCACAGTAGTAGGGTGGAGGAAGCTTGTCCTGATGCTGTCTGTGCTGTACCTGTTTTGGGATAAAGAGAAGCCTGCGGTTTCCAGAGTTGTCAGCCCGGCACCTTTCTCCAGCAGTAATGTCACACGCTGTTATCTCAGAGTGTAGGTCAAGTAGGAGGAGTGTGGAGACAAATAAAACTCCAAATTCTGCCTTGTGTCCAGTGGAACAAATGCTCCTTCCATGCTTGCCCTTGATACATTCGCTCTTGGCATCATTGAGCTATTTAGCTACGAAGTGTTGTTGGGACTTTTATTGAAATCTCTTAAATCTAGGGAAGCATGTGTCCGGCAGTAACTCACATACTCACAGTTGCAATTGTGTGTCCATTCACGCATCCGGATTGTCACACTATGCTTGGTAGGAATGATCATGTTATAAAGCAACTGTTGGTTTAAAGTTGATAATTTATATAACAATATGTATCCAGATTTTTAAACAATAGTCTATGTGAATGGGTGAGAGGTTCTTGGAGGGGAAAAATTCACATCGCAGGCCTACCAGAGACTGATTCTGATTTGTCCACCTACTGTAGGGTGATTCATAAAGTTAGGATCAGCACCTTAGGATATTTCTAGCTGTGCTTAGCCTTGATGTAGCTGTAGTTGTGCTTAGCCTTGATGTAGATGCATAAGATGCTTTTCTCTTGCCAGATGTCTCTTGCCAGATCTCACTCGAGTCCTAATGTGAGAATGTGATTTTAAAAATAAATCTTTTATTTAAAAGTAGAGCTGCAAAATCTAAACTGAGATGTAGACAAGCCAAGAAAATCTGTGCCAAATTCCTCCCCTAACTGACCATGGCAAGCATTCAGCAAAGAAATTTTCCTGTGAGGTACCACCCAGTCTGCCACACATCACCGCGTCCTGGTTTGGTAATGCAGGCAGCCCTCGTCTGGGAGCACTGGAGAATAGCTGATACAACAAGGATTTCATTTGTCCTTTGGTTGCATCGGGAAGTGGTGTCAGTGATGCTACAGAATAATGCACTTTGGAATGTCCTTAGTGAACCAGGAAGTACCAGAAGATTTGGTGGGGTGGAGGGGAGAGAAGTTTTTGGAAAGGTTAATCACAACTTGTTTTTTCTAGTGCCTGTTAGCAGGGGCATTCAGCAGAGAGCTGCAGGCTTAACTTAATTTTCACCTGAGCTTTGCATTTCACCTTTAAAAGTTGAATTGATTCATAACTTGTAAGTGAATGGAACTCCTGAGACCTTGGCTACTAACCAAGAAGGTCTCTGTGATGCTTCTCGGGGCACGCAGGGCTGTGAGTCACAGTATTGCCACCCGCCTCCAGCACAAGGGAGTCTTGCCTTTGCCAGCTGGGTGTTAGCTCCCTAACACAACCAGCTTGTCAGCCACTCAAGCAGTGTCCTCTGGGCTATACCAGCCCTGCCTTTGCCCTGAGGGTTGACAAGAGATTCACCCTAGCCATTGACTCCCTTCAATAGTGTCTCCCTGCAGTATTCAGCCCCTGATCTCTGGATACCCACCGAAACCCCAGATCCTCTCTTCCCAGCAGAACAGTGTTCCTCAGTTTACCAGTTTTACCTTAGCCTACCGCTCCTGTATCACACACAGCACTTGAGTTCAATTATAGTAAAAGAAAAGGGAGTATATTTAGGAAAGACTAGAGTTTCAAATAGAACAAGTGTGAGTGATGGAAACAAATGGTTGCATATAAAACGCAAACTAGGGCCTACGCTTATTAATAGTTACCTTTCCTGTCTAATAAAGAAGATTCTTACCCCAAAGTTCAGTCTTCTGCAGCATTTACTAGCCACAAGGAGCTACTCTCTGCTCCTCAATGAATGCATCCAGAGAGTCTTTCTCTACCTTGCGATATACTGCATCAGTCTTTTGTCTTTATTCACAGACAGGGCGATCCCTTCACTGTCTTGCTGTTCCTTTCCCCTTCCAAGTGGTTTTGATGGTTAGTCTGTCTTTTGTGGTTTTCCATTGACTTTTCTTGGTTGGTGCACCAGTGGACAATTGAGCAATATATTATGTGATCGGCTAGCCAGGGATTCTATGTCACAGTTCCCTGGCGACTCACTTTCACTCCAAGATCATAAAGCCAAAATGTTCACATTACTCCTTAAATATCACCCAGATACACATCTCACAATGATTACGAGTATCGATAAATTAAAAGCTTTCACACGTGCTACCCTGCATGGATAAATACCATGAAAGCGGTGTATTATGTGTAGTGAGTTTGTCAGGTCTAAAACAGGAGTTGGTTGTAAAGAACAGTAAACCCTTTGCCAATTGGCACCAGTGAGCCTCCGTGTCACAATCTCCTCTTGTGTTCTTAGTGTAACGAAACTGCTGGGCTCTGCTTTTCTCTCACCCCGAGAACATCTGCAGGGAAGCATGCGCTTGGGTAGCCAGGAGAGACATCCATTGATCTATAAACTGAGGATGCTCCAGATCAAATTCCTAGGGACAAATTCATCTCTGGAGTAATTCTACTGATTTCAGGGATGATGGATAAATTTGGCTCCTGCTGTCCTGTGTCACACATGTAAACTCGCAACATCATTCCTGCACTCTTCTTGCCATTCCAGAGATGACCGCATGTCCCCTCTGGGCCACAGTCCAGGCATGGGATCTTGGAGTCACTCCTGCTCCAGTTTGTTTGAAGGTTTCTGCTCATGTGCTTGCTATTATCTGTTTCCTCACAGGGCTTTAAAATGCTGATTTGCCTTTTTTGTTTTTTCTGTTCACTCTGCAGCTGTGTCCCATGACGACCTCACCCGCCATGTTCTATGGATCTTCGTCCGCCATGTCCCCACCTTCCAAAAACAAGCTCAAGCGTCAGAGCCGGATATTCTCTCAGGTCCTGTACCGGACGCTGAGCTATAAGGACCGCAGCTCGGTGTCGGCTTTCCCCCTTGCAAGCAGCGATGACCCAGCTGAACTTTCCACTCAGGTTTCAGCCCCTGGGGTCCTGAAGATATTTGGGGGCAACATCTGCGCGGGCACCAACTACAAGAGCGTCCTTGCCACTGGGAGCTCAAGTGCGCGGGAGCTGGTGAAGGAGGCACTGGAGCGCTATGGGCTGAGCAAAGTGGATGCCGGCCACTATGTGCTGTGTGATGTCATTGGGGTGTTCAGCGGCTCTGAGAAGCAGTGGCAAACGGAAGGGTTGCGCGTCCTCGGTGATAATGAGAAGCCCCTTCTGATTCAGGACCTGTGGAAGCCCAAGGAAGGGTTCTCCCGGCGTTTGGAGCTACGGAAGAGATCTGAGGTGGAGGAGCTGGCTGCGAGGGACGTAGACACGATCACGGCAGGTAAGAGACTAGCGGAGAGCTACGTATAAATGCTGAACTGAGCAAGGGCTGTGGGGTGAGCTCTCGGCTCTTAAAGTGGAGGAGTTGCCCCTGTCTTGTGCCAGACCAGTGATGGTTTTATAGCCTGTAGGGGGCCCCGAATCTCATATTGTAGACATTGAGTGCAGATCCTTAGCTGAGGTAAACAGGTGCTCTCCAGTGGCACCTTAAAGACTAACAGATTTATTTGGGCATAAGCTTTTGTGGGTAAAAAACCCTCTTGGTATCGACACCTCCTCATCAATTATTGGGAGTGGACCACATCCACCCTGATTGAATTGGCCCTGTCAACACTGGTTCTCCACTTGTAAGGTAACTCCCTTCTCTTCATGTGTCAGTATATTTATGCCTGCATTGGTAATTTTCACTCCATGCATCTGAAGAAGTGGGTTTTTTACCCATGAAAGCTTATGCTCAAATAAACCTGTTAGTCTTTAAGGTGCCACCGGACTCCTTGTTGTTTTTGTGGATACAGACTAACACGGCTACCCCCTGACACTTGAGGCCTAGCTCTGTTATCCTCAGCGTGTGTAAATGGCCATGGTGGCATTAGCATTAATCCACTTTATTACTTCCCACCCACCTTTTTCTTCACATCAGTGAAGCTATGACATTTACAGCAGCTGAGGATCTGGCCCTGGGAGCATTGTAGACCTTTCCTGAGCTGGCGATAGTTTATATAATATTGCAATGTGATATTGTGTCTCTGCCCAGAAACAGTCGCAATCTAGTGCACTCTGGGCTTTGTCAAAGGGCCTTACAGAGGTGCCAGTTCAGGTGCCCATCCCCCTGGGGGTCCAGAAGGCCTGATAGGTAGAGGAATCAGTAAATTTCCACTGTCCAAGAGGGCAGGCTATCAGTTTTAGGGGTTCCGCTCCTTCTATGGGACCCAGAGCTGTGTTCCACAAGCTTCCCCTGCAGTACCATGCAAGGGGAGTGCTGATGGTGGGACATGACCAGTGGATCCACGACTAAGGGGCATCAGTGTAGGGCATAGGCACAGCTGCCACAGAGCCAGCTGTAACCTGGAGGCTACAGTAACAGCCATAGGAGCATGGGGGACCCTGTCTAATGCTGAGGATTCTCTTAGGCTTGGCACAGGGCCTAGGGTTTGACCCAGAGGAACTGAACTCATTAGGATATTAGGAAAAACTTTCTAATTTTAAGGATAGTTAAACACTGGAACAGGTAACGTTGGAGGTTGTGGAATCCCTGTTTTGGAGGTATTAAGAAAAGATTAGACAAACTCCTGTCAGGGATGGTCGAGGTATACTTAGCCTTGCCTCGGCATGGGGGCCTGGACTAGATGACCTCTTGAGGTCCCTTCCAGCTCTGTGTCTCTATGATTCTATGGCAATGCTGAATCTCACCTTTAAATTGTATGTCAGCATTTTAGACTGTGCTTGTTTTCTGTCCCTCCGATCATAGTTAAATTACATTATGATGCCATTTGGGAGCCTGCAGACTGTTTTGCTATTGGCTGAGTTCCCTGCCTCCCCTCTCCTCCATTCCCAAATAGGCTTTATCTTTATCAGGGGAAAAATCTGAACCTGCAAGTTGAGCACTTAGGAGCAATCAAATGAAATAAAGAGATAATGAGAGAAAACCAATGTGGGCCAAAACATACTCTGCATTATTGCCCATGGCTCTCTGGGGCCCATAGGTGGACAGTGGACATTAATTGTGAATCAGTGGGTTTGTAAAAGACCCAAGTGCAATGTAATGAAGCTCTGATTTCCCTTCCTGAATTAACACCCCCTGCTGGGGTGTTGCCGGGGGGTTAAAATCAAACTTGTACTGTAATACAGTCATTGGATCACTGGAGTGTCTGAGCACCTGACCCCACATCATCAGAGATTGCTCTGACTAGGAGATACAGGATGGATTCTAATGCTTGGTTGGTATCTTCTCTGTCTGCAATTCTCACAGCTGCTTTTACCGAGGAGATATGATATAATTTCCTGTTATTGTCACTGTTACCCCAGCAGGATGTTATGTTATGGGGAGAGGTGCTAAGGAGAGGGTTAATGGTGAGTCCAAACACAGTCCTATTAGCCTGGGCCTGAGTATACACGTATGCAAGCTGGCTGAACTGAGTGAGGTGGCAGAGATGTAATTGGAAGCAGAATTGGGCATCGTATGTGCTGGAAGCTCTTCATTGCACCTATAGGAATCCATGATAGTTTGGTCTGGGTACAGAAGCACAGTTGGATGGACTTCCAGGCTTGGTGTTATGTGAGGTTTCTATCCAAGCCCGTTTTTGTTTTTAAAAAATGAAGTGGTGGCTATCAGAAGAGAGTGGCAGTTATACCAGAATATCGTGAAGAATCCGGTTAGCCAGGTGGCAAAGTCCATCCCTCTTCATAAGAGGCGAGAGAGGATATCCTCACTACCAAGCATTGCTGCTCAGGTACCATGGAGGTGAGGGGGCCAGGTGCTATAAGTACCTAGCTGTATTTCCACCACTTTAATCATACGCGTGGGATACTACGGATGATAGCAAAATCTATAACCCAGTGGTTCTCAACCTATTTACCATTGTGGGATGGATATGCAGCTCTCTACGTGTTATGTGGACGGCATCCACACAATATATAGTACCGGTACGGCTCTGAGGATATCACATAGGCCGCAGCTATGTGCTGATTGGGCCGTAAGCAGCTCGCGGGCTGCAGGTTGAGAACTGCTGCTCTAACCGCTAATGGAGAAGGAATTAACAGCCTGCTGCATCCACTGCTGAAGGGAATTTGGACGCTTTCCACTGGTTTTAACTGAAGTTGGATCAGGCCCAAACTGAACGAGTAAAGGAAATTCAGAGGGCAGCAGGCGGCTATTCGCTTCACCCTGAGGTGCAGGTGTTTCAGGACGCATTGCTCGGCTTCTGTATAGTCCTGGGAAGGCTCCCAGGTTTCAGGAAACCCATAGGTGTTGCATGGTGTATAAATGCAGCCCTTTCCTAGCAGCAGTATCCGCCATGGCAGGAGTCCATTCTCTCTGAATAGGTAGAGGCCAGTCTTTCCAGAACCTCAGGATAATGTTTCTTTGGCAGTCTTTAAGCAAGTCTTAATCCATTTTATCTCCCCTTTTAAAAGTAAACAGGATAACTGAGCTGGGAAACCAACCGCACAAAAGGGAGGCTACACGGCTGCCAGTGTGTCCTTGGGATGCAGCTCATTTACCATGCAAAAATCAAACCATAGGGATGGGAGGTTTTGGGTGTCTTGTGTAACAACCATGTAAGGCACATCTTGCAACTGGGTTCACATGGGAGGACCCCTGCCCCTACAGAGAGCCCCATGAAAGACAATGGGGCTTCACGTGGATTGCAGGGGTCTGCTCCAGTTGCAAAACTGGGACACAGATTGGTGCTTTTAAGCTTTCATGCTGTCCCGTGCAGCCAGTGCCTAGCTTTGAAGCAGCATAGCTGTAGACATGCTTCCCTAGATGCCTTGCCGTTGGAATTCAGTACCGTGCTCTAGGTTGGCACTTACTACTATGTTAACCTGGTTGAAAGAGCCACTCTGCGTTAAAGTTCTCTGCTCTGAAAAGTGACTGTAAAGGTGGGAGCTCCTTGCTCCCATTTGAACCCTCCCAGTTTCACAGCAAACCACTACTCTGAGTGTGGGTTTTCAACCAGTTTCGCACCCACCTTATGGTAATTTCTTTTAGACCACTTTTCCCTAGTTTGCTTATGAGAATGTCATGTGGGATTGTGTCAAAAGCCTTACAAAAATCAAGATATAGCACATGTACTGCTCCCCACCATCCAGTTCTGGCATTTCCTAAATTTCGACTGCTTGATTTTGCAACCTTAAGGTTATTTTGACATAGTTTTTCTGTGTCATCTCCTAGGTTTTTAAAAAAAGCAAACTGATACCCCTTCCCTGAAATCCCATCATACTGAATTATATTAACACCCACATGGGTCATCAGCAGAATTGGAACCTTTAGATCCACTGCACAGACCTCTGCCATTCGAGCTAACAGAGTAAACTGATAGCAGTAGTAGGTTGTCATCCTCTAGCTGGACCAGCCACTAGAGGGAGGCGTGAAACACATACTTTGCCAGTGGTTTTCACAGATATTTGTTTTCAGCAGAGGAATGGTGAGACTCAGAAATCTTCCATTCCATTATGGAGGGGAGTGTGCTCTAATGGTCGCCGACTATTCTGCCCTGTCTCCTCCAGTCGGTCCCAGTACTATGTCTCCCGCACACCTCCCCAGCTCCCTGCCCCAGGCTCCCCCTCCAGGCTTCTTGCCCAGTCAGTCTTGCTTTCCCCCACCCCCTAGCCTGTGACTTCTCTTCAGATTTCAGTCTCCCTTCCTCCTACTGGACTCCTCAGCAGATTTCATTCTCTCCCTTCCCCATCTCCCCTGGGCTCCTCCGTCTGCCCCCACCCCCAGCCTCCTTGTCTCAATCGACTCTTTCCACCCCACCCCCGGTCCAGTTTTTGTCCTCTCTGCATTTAAGTCAGGCATCTTCCTCCTCCATGCTGCCTCGGAGCCAGCAGGAGGAACATCTAACACATAGAAGAGACAGTTTCCCTGCTTTTAGTTTTGGTGCCTGGCACCACAGCTGAGACAAGAGCAGCAATTGCAGGGAAAGACCTGCTTAATCCCTGAAGCCCTGGGTTTGAGCATGCTTACTGCAGACAGAATCTTCAGAGAATGTAGCTGCCAAACTCTGACAAGCCTCTACGGAGCACGTGGAAACAGTGATTTTTTTTCAAAGGTTATAACTTGGCCAAATGTGGGTGAATTGTCACAGGAATAGCAAAGGGCAAATCCCTGACACCAAGGCAATGCCCTTGCCAAATGTCAAGCCCGTGCTGCAAAGCAGGGAGGTGCCAGAGCTTCTCAGTGAAATGGTTGGATGAATTTTTTTAACACAGGCAAAACCATTTTTCCTCAGTCTCCTTCTCAGAAATGGCTGAACCATTTTTGCTGAAGCTTTCCAAAAA